AACAAGTACATTTTGTACTTATCGTTTTTTTTCGAACTTTTGCTTTTTTATTTGTACATTTTTATATGTTTGGAAAATTCATGTTGCTTGAATAAAGTTTTATATAATTTTATTTAATGGTCATCGATTCTAATGAATCAAGATAGTCGAACAGAAAATTGAGGTTTATTCACAATTATTTTTCATAAGCTATACTGACAAAAGGCGGATGATAATTCTAGGAATAAAATAAAATCGAATTGATGAAACTGTGAGTTGAGATCATGAAATTATTCATGGCGATGGCCATCAACATTTTTACAGATATTCCATCCACTGATTCGAAAAAGATCTACGGGGTGTTTAGCATCCTTCACAAAAAAATGAATTACTAAATCCAGGCCTAAAAATGAAAAAATATGTCGATTTCCACACAAAATGTATGTTGTATATTACTTTTATTCGTAAAATTTATAGGCTGCGGAGTGATAATTTCCGAATAATAGTTATTTATGTATCAAGGGCGTAAAGTAGGCGTTTATGGCCTGTGGCGTGAATAATGGTGCTAGACGAGGGCAATTACACGCTGAAGGCCATAAACGCATTTCACGCACGAGATACATACAAAATTTTATGCACTAGTGTTTTATTCTCTGACTCAAAAGTAATGACTATAGATTTCGGTAAACTAATATTCCCAGAATTTGATTTGTAACTTATAAATTCAGTAATCAAGAGAAGCGTAATGTTCATGGATGATTTACATATGAAAATTATCGTACGAATATTGCAATTATCGTAATAGTAAAACTCTCTCAGCTCTATAAGAGATTCATCCTCCATAATTTTACAATATGCATACCCAGTATATATACCTAACTTATTTTGACGTTGTCAATCAAGCTGATGGTTGTTGTCTATAGCAATACATCCAATAAAACGAACTGAATTGTCATTCTTTGAATGAAAAGTAAAAATTAGTGATAATAATAATAGCGAGACTATGGAATCGGATAAAAAAGAAGTTTATGATATACCGCTGGATATATCAGAATCTAGGAATATGATCATAGGTTTTTTATAAATTGATATGTGGATATAAGGTAACTGAGAACAGCGGGCGGTAAAGTACACTTTACGGCCCATTGGGCCATAATGAGCCCGCGGGCGCTGAAGTGCGACTTAACGCCCGCAAAACCAGGCGGTAAAGTGCACTTTACGGCCCGCTAGTGCATAAAAACATTTTTGCCCAATTGTCGTTTTTTCCTATAATTCAAAGTTTATTTCAAACTGCAGTGAAAGTGTGAAAAAAATCAGGAATATTTTACCAACTATCAAAATTGTTTAGGAACGGTCCCAGGTCTTCCAGATTCTGAATGAGTCAGTTGATTAGGGAGTATTATATAGTAGCGGAACATTCCATGAAAAAATCAAACCAATCGAAAAAGCTGTTGGAAAGACATGATTCAAAGATGATTTTTCCAAATCTCATAATATACCCTATATATTGGAGAAGAAGTGAAGAATACAATGTCTTATGGACATATGAGGTATTCTCCTCAGGAGCCTCAATTCGTGGTAGGAGTATGTACAGTTCCCCATGGCTCGCCCTGTATAAGGCCCGTGTGACACTTAATATAATTTTATATAGAATTGAATATTATATTCTCATATTGAATTTGATTTCAGGTGTCATACAGCTTCCTGATGAGAATTTTTACATAGAAATTTATATTATATCCAGAAATAGAACATGTTCTATTTTAATGAAATATGAAATAAAACTTTATGCATAATGTGCGCAGAAGAACAGACTAACCTGAAAAATGATAGATTGATAGGTGATGATAGTGAGCAGTGAGAGGTGAAATTTATCATATTATTATTTTCATTTGGGATTTGTTTCCACATTTCATCACCTGATAATATAATATCTGATGATTCTGATCATCTCTGATTCTGATGAGATATGACTTGGTCAAAAAAACAAGTAAGATTATTTATCGAGCTCATCAGTGAAAAACCATGTTGAAGATCCCTTTTATAAAAATAAGCACTGTAGAGCCGATGCACTTCGATATATAGAAAAGGTATTGAAAAAAATGAAACCAGATACGAACATAAATGAAATAAAATTGAAATTCAATGCTTTGAGAGCCAACTTTTTAAAAGAATATAGGAAGTATCAAGGGACTAAAAGAGGTGGTTCAGGTACAGAAGATGTGAGTTTCATTGAAGCCTTTTTATGTGCAAATATCAATATAGAACGTATTTGTTCCAGAAGTAGCTGATGATACTAGATTATTTGTTGTTATCTTCATTGCTTCTTTGTTGAATTGTCAGAGATCATTGTTGGATTTTGGATTCAAATTCAGTTGTCAGTTGTTTATTTGCATGACCAATGAAAACACAAGACTGTGACACATACAAGAAATAAAGTGTTGAAAAGATTAACTGAAAACTTTTCAAGTTCTATTGAGTGTCAGACAAGACACAAAACAATATAACATTTTATATACTCATTTTGCATTGACAAATTCACTATCAAATTATATGTATAATTTTATATAGAGATCAATCAAGTGTCACAAGGGCCTAAAGCATATTTGTGTCTCATGTTTTTGTTCAGCTGTTTTATAACATGACAAGCGTGTCCTCATCCTGTAGAGTTGTTTTAGGCACTCTAACTCTGGCCAGTAACTCAGAGACTATAATATGTATTGCCACATTATGTAAAATATATAGGCACAGTAGTATTGGGCAAGAGTTTGATACCAAGTGAATATCTCTGTGGCCGTTCTTCAGATTATTTAGAATTTTCGTACAGGATGATTTCGTGACATAGCGAATTCGGAAATGATGTCGCCAACGTTGCCACGTTTTCAGTATTTCTGAAGTTCTTTGCAAGTTTTTTATAGTTTATTATTTCAAAAGGCACAACCTACATATTCCTAAGAGATTTGGAAATGAAATTATCATCTGAAATTTGCGACAGAATGAGATTCCATATATTTTGTTTCGTTACCATATAGCAACTAAACAATTTTTGGAATTTTTGAAAATGAATTTGTGAAAAACTGAGAGATTGAGGTAACGAGGACCCAATCCAGCGACCATAATCAGAAGAGTGACATATTTGTGTATGAACCAGGTGCTCAAAGGACAAATACCGCGCCAGTTTCAGGTATAGGGGCAAGACGTGGAAAATGTTAGGTTAGTGAGCATATCAACAATAGTGGTGCCCGCGAGAGTCTCGTTTTCGAGAGTCTCGCATGGTCTCGTCTCGTTTTCGAGACAAGACTCGAGACGAGACTCGGACAAGATAAGACGAGACTTTTATTGGTCTCGTCTCGAGTCTTGTGCAAGACTTCTCGTTTCTCGTGCGAGAGTCTCGCAGGTAAATATTTCTGCGTGGCGACTGCAGATTTGAGAATTTCATTCATAATACAACATATTTAGAAAGAATTCAGACTATTTTGCACAGAGAGACAAAACATACAATTCATAAATACGTACTTCAAAAACACTATACGTGATTGTTGTAAAATGAAGTAATGCGTGGAACGAAAACGGAATATTCCGTTACCACCGATACAACCGGTGGTAACGACTATTCTCTCCCTAACGGAGGAATAATGTTGGATTGAAGTTCTTGTTTTGTTTATTTGTTAAGAATATACGTGTTACTTTTTATTTTATTTATATAACTTTCGAATATATATAATGCTATGATTTTTTTCTTGTTCGGATGTATGATGTAAGTATGTACCTATTATGTACTTACTTTTCAATGAATAATGTTATTTTTGTTGTGATTTTCTCTTCCTACTTTATAAAAGTCTCGTCTCGTTGGTCTCGTGTGAATCACTAATCAACAATAATAATAGCGATTACTTTTTTCTCTCCATACTCTCCTGTGTTTAGCTTGAGAATCAAATGGAGGTGAATAATATGGTTATTTGAGACAACAAACTATTGCTGGAATTGATTTTTCGAAAACAAGTTATTCATCCCCAGAATAACGAATGAAATACAGATCATGCAAGTATGTTAATCTTGAAGGCTTCCCAGATCAAAACAAAGATACCTAACTATAATAAGCATTGGTATGAAACACCAAATCTGCCGAAATCGGAAACAAATCAGGTACGTGTCTCAACCCAAATAACCAACCGTAACAATGTTTTTCTGCAACCGACATAAAAGTCGTCCATTACTAACACGAAAATATGTATGTTGCTAGTTAACATATTTAGTTCCTAGGAGCTGAAGTTAAACTTCAGTTCTCAGTAGCTTGAGTTGAACTTCAGCACCTAGGAACTAAAAAGGCTGTACTAAATATCATCAAGAATAAACAACATTGTTAGGGTTGGTAATTTGGGTTGGGACGCATACCTGATTTTTCTCCAATTTCGGCAGTTTCGGCATTTTATACTCATGCTGGAAATAAAAATACACCTCATTATAGTCAATATATATTATATACAGGGTGATCCACAGTGGATGGCCTATCAGAAGTATCTGGAGAACGAATGGACAGAACATTCTGAAAATGGTGGTACTTTGATAATTGCACATTCTCTATCCGTCTAATATATTTTCATCGATACAGTTTTGCCACTTCTATCAGAAACAACAAGCAACTTCGTTATTTTAAATGGAACACCCAATATTCTATATCAATTTTATCCTCTTCCTGGAGAGCTGATTTCATCGATATATCACACTTGGGGTCTAGCATATTATTTATTATGATTTGTTGGCGCTAATGGAAACTACACTGAGAATATCAAAAACCTTCTGCTGACAGTTGTGACTTTTATTCAAAGCTGAACAGCAGCCAACAGAGTTTTGGTCGATTTTTGTTGTTTCTCCATGGAAATGTATGTGGTCTTGGGAAAGTGCCGTCAGAAGAAATATTCCTCACATTATGGGCAATACATGGTTTCGAAACCAAGTGAGCTATGAGGAATACGCTTCTTTTAATAGCAAATGCAAAATATATCTTAAAAATTACTTACCTGTATTTGCTCCCGTAACTATAACTGTTTTTCCCACCAAGCATATTGTACTATGGCACCGACTTGATTTGAATTTATTGAAAACATCGAGAATTATTGCGGCAAGTATGGATAGAATGCCGGCAGCTAAGAACCATTTCATTATAATTGTATACAAATACAATTCACACCGTTAACACAAATCTACTATCAAAAACTGAACTTATCGACACAATATTAATATCGTTATTTCAAGTTCCTATAATTTCACTCCTACGCCTCGTATTGCTTTCTGTTTGAGAATGACTTATCGGTTATTTGTTAATCCCCAAAAATATCCAATTCATATTCTTTTATGTGAAACAAGACCCAAGACTTCATTCGTTTTAAATTAGGCACCTATTAAAAACATATTATCAGTATCGAATGGTATCAGCTAGAATGATATCTTGAATCGAGTAGATAAGAACGACATAATATTGTGAAAGATTACACTTTTTACGAATTCAATACAGATTGAGTTCTATGATATAATTTTTTTTAATCCATATGATTATTTATAGAACATTTATTTTCGAGTTGCTATTGCCATTTCTGAACTATTTCTTTTTTTTTCTTCCCTTCCGTTATTAAAGGTTCCATTTCAAAAATATTTTCATTAATACTGGGTGTTTTATAAAAGCGGGAGGACTCGAAGACGAGTTTTTTTAAATAGAACACCCAGTACTTTTTATTCGAAATTTATTTCGCTAATGTTCAGCTCTACATCGCTGTGAAAAGAATTGGATTTCGTTGCGGCGTTGCCAAGTTATAATTGATAAACCCATTTTTACTACTATTGACGAGTCATGTCCCAACCAACATTTCAAGAGAATTCGACCAAGCAGAGAGGACAAATTACTCGAAGAAGTCGAAATTTACTAATTTCCGACAAAATATTTCACCTTTATGCCCTGAGTAACTTGAAAGTTATGGATTAGGTTGTAAAATGCCTGGTTAGGACCTCAACATTTTCTATAAAAACCATCAACTTCATAGACAAATTGCATAGTTGGAAACTACTCATTACAGACTTCAAACATAACTTCATGGTCCTAGTGAGCATTTAGTTATCAATTAGGTAATATTTAACATCAAAATTACCAGTAAAATGTCTTCCAGGCCCTCGAACTATCAGGATATTTATTGGAGTTGAAATTTACCAAATTCTAACTTCATGAACGATTATAAAGTCAGGGAATAATCAGATGGAGAAAATAAGTCGGATTTATACTCTGTTTTGCCAATTTTTGACCAATTGAGTCGAAGGAGTTTCTTAGACTTTTTTTAACCTAATCAGTACCAACTTCATATCCGATGAAGGCAAGATTACCACTATGAAATCCTTATAGAACGAAGTGTCCTTGAGAGAGCCGAGAATTCCAAAATTAGTCCTAAAATCATGTTCTCAAAGTTGATGACAATTATTGATCCTGGTGCTTTGAGGTCGGCAAATGTTTTGAAATGATCATTAATTTCTGAAAATATTAAAAACTGGAGACAAGCGCAATGTATGAGTTTTGAATGTTTTATTCTTTATCACCAGTGAGTGGTTCAGGTAGCTTACCGCTTGAACGCTTCTAAAGCAACTCATGATATCTTTCTATTCATTACGATGATGTTTGATCATCTGAACCATCGATTTGTTTACAAAAATGGCAAATGTACTAAAAGTATACCAGAACGGCAACACTGTTCGAGAGATGACAACACGGCGATGGACTTTTCTGATTCGCTGAAAAATGAAGCCTGTCATCCAGCGACCAATTAGAAAACATGCCGTGGTGCAGAATAAGAAATTGAAAGCGAACAACGAACATTTGACAAATTAAATGATTATAGGGAACATCTGATAATATTAATCCATCAGGTTGACTGCTACTCAAATAATATACTCGTTGATATAGTCTAAAATCCCAATATGGGGAAATTGGGCTTCATAGTCAGAATATACAGAATTTTCGACTATGAACGAAGCCTATTCGCCCTGAAAGTTGAAGATTCTGGAAAATTCGACTTTCAAGTCCAATATGAAACCGACGCCATATTTTTTGGCTCGAACCTTTTTCGCCATTGACGGAAAAAGAAGAAATCTCTACATAGCGACCACATCCTAATGAATAGTAATACAGAAAAGGTTAAATTTCGCATATATGATCATATTCTACCAGTTGATTCATTTTTAGATGGAATTGTTGAAAAATAATTCGAAAACACAAAGAATATCATCCAGTATTTTTCTACAAATCCAATAATTTCGTGGGCCCACTAATTTTACATGTGTAAAATCAACATTATCACAATAAATTTTGCATCGCAGGTTGAATAACGATTCACAACAACCTCAAATAAGCTGAACAACATGCATATTATCTACACCTTCCACTACTATCGAGTTTTCTTTTGAACGCCATGTTCATAAACTCCTAAGTCTCCACACGTAAATGAGTAGGTATAGTCGATCGTGAAACACGGTACATATTTGTTTTCCGAACCCAACCAAATGACAGTAAACCAGGTAGAAATCTTAGTAAACCCACCCATAAGTAGGTAATGAATAACGTCAGAATAACTGAAATCAGACCACTATCAGACTAGAATTAGGACAATTTCACCTAATTGTTTCCTCGACCTATTGGTCAGGATACCCTAATATCCCTATTCTCGTCTTCTGAATTACTTCCAGTTTTTTCCCCATATTGGTTGATTTGGAGTAAATAAGACGTAATATTCACTTAGGCCAAATAAGTCGTTGACCTATTCTAAGGTCGAAATAACGTATATTATACCTAAAATGATTGTTGGGGTTGAATTGGGTATGGTATATTCATTTATCGAAATTTTGAAAATATTGTTGGCATTCAGTAGCAGCAAGGTCTCACGTACACCAATCCAGTAATTTTTCGAGATGATCCTTTACAGGGTGCTAGAATTTACATTTTGAATATTGTTAGATTCAGACGACGCTCATTAGGATTTTTCTAATGGAACACCCTGTATTTTTCATCACAGATTTATTTCGACATCATTCGCCTTTTTATCGCTGAAATAAAAATTAAAATCGGTTGCGGCGTTTTCAAGTTATAAGTAATTTCCTTATGTTTATCACTATCTCAGGGCTACTTATGAGGCATGGTTCCTCAATTTGAGTTGAGTGTGGGAATATTGAGGTTCTACATAGATCATTCAGGTATTTTTGCGATATGTGCATTGTCCAAATTTGAAATATTCCGTAATCTTGGTACTTATGATTTGAATAATATGTATCTATGTGAAACAAACAAACATGCCAAAAGACACGTCTGCCTTAAAAACAACTTCTACAATACAAACAATAGAGATTTGGATTGCGACAATGAGGACAATTTTCCAAGATTTGAACCACTTTTATTATCGTTAGTCCAACAATCCGAATCTTCATTTAACTTGAAGGAGGCAAACTCTACATAATGATAGAAACAATATTTCTTCTTTACGCGGGATTCGAGAGGAAATTCAGCAAAATTTTGAACAAATTCAAGATCATTACACAAATGATAAAAGTGTATTTCGCATAATCAATTCATAGTCTGCAAAAAATCTGTGAAAGTAGCATTTTGGATCAATTTTTCAAAGCCCACACTGTTTTAAATTCAAACTTGGAGAGCCTGTAAATGTTCCTATTGTGAAAAAAAATATATAAATGGTCAATGAAGTTTGATTATACAGTATAGCAACGCAATATTTTCACAATACAAATAAATGAAAGAACTATGACGTATAAATTACCCCGAAATAGTAGTAAAAGTAAGGAAATTATCCATAACTTGAAAACGCCGCAACCGATTTCAATTTTTATTTCAGTGATGAAATGACGAAAGATGTCAGAATGAATTTGTGAATGGAAATACAGGGTGTTCCTTTTGAAAAATTCTAATGAATGTCATCTGAATTTTGCTAAATTTTAAATGCAAAATTGAGCACAATGTAGAAGAACATGTCGCAAAATTACTGGATAGGTATACGTGAGATCATGCTATTATCGTTTGTTAAAAATATTTTCAAAATTTGAATTAATGAATATACCATGCCCAATTCAATATGACTCTTCAATAGTGGTAAAAATGGATTTATCAATTATAACTTGGCAACGCCGCGAACGATTTAATTTTTCTCACAGCAATGTGAAGGTCATTTATGGCGGAATAAATTCCGAATTAACAATACTGGGTGTTCCATTTAAAAAAACTCGTCTCCGAGTCGCCCCGATTTTATGAAGCACCCAGTAATGTTGAAAATATTTTTAAAATAAGCAACTTCAGTAACTGAAGAGGTTTTTCCTTCAAAGTTTTTCTTTATAGGTTATGGATTTCGAGATATCGAAGAATTACGCACTAAATTGTACTATAGAAAAACCATACTGGGTGTCGTAATAAGTATAGTAGCCTTTTGTATGAATAACTCATTTTCCAGAAATACCTCATTACTGTGTACCCTCGTGCATATCACTTCCACAATATGGAATCATAATTTTTTCACTCTCAACCCATCAAAGATTTGTTGATCATTGAAAATTCATATGGATATTCAATTCATATTCACGGAGGAAAAGGAATTGTTGAATCAAGCAAAATTTAATCGAATGAAGCATATATAGTAAAAATAATAATAAGTGTCATATATGCACGACAAAATACAATCTTGAAATAAGCAAATCGACATCTTGTTTCGGAGCAAATTTGAAGTCGGATTCAAGTAAATATGTCTTGCATGAATTCTGGATCTCATTCAATCAAGCACATTCATGAATCGTTCATGGAGAGATATCGAATTGTATCAGATTAACATTTTTTTTTATTCAAAATAACATGATATTGATTCAATCAGATATTCAGTTGATTCAATGAAATATTTGGTTGATTCAATGGAATATTTGGTGTTGATTCAATGAAATATTTAGTTGATTCAATAGAATACTTGGTTGTTTCAAGGAAATGTTTCGTTGATTCAAGAGAAACTGTATTTCCATTCGACAAATTGTTTTGTTGAACCGAATCGGATATTTCATGAAATTTCACATCAATAGAATGAACTAAACTAGGAAACTGGCCGACTTCTAGCTAGATCTCCAATATTTACTTCTCT